TTTTGTACCATTTTTAGTATTTGAAGCTTTTTTCTTACATGTCCAGGTTACTGTGTTAATAAAGATAGGGTCAGTTTCCAGTTCTTTTAAAGATAGCTATGTGTATAATACATACATACATATATCTATATATCATAGAATCACAGAATAGTCTGGGTTGAAAAGGACCACAATGATCATCCAGTTTCAATTCTCCTGCTGTGTTCAGGGTCACCAACCACCAGACCAGGCTGCCCAGAGCCACATCCAGCCTGGCCTTGAATGCCTCCGGGGATGGGGCATCCACAACCTCCTTGGGCAACCTGTTCCAGTGTGTCACCGCCCTCTCTGTGAAAAACTTCCTCCTAATATCTAACCCTAAACCTCCCCTGTGTCTGCTTAAAACCATTCTCCCTTGTCCTATCACTATCAACACATGTAAACAGCTGTTCCCCCTCCTGTTTATATGCTTCCTTTAAGTACTGAAGGCCACAATGAGGTCTCCCTGGAGCATTCTCTTCTCCAAGCCCAGTTCCCTCAACCTTTCTCTATAGGAGAGGTACTCCAACCCTCTGATCATCTTAGTGGCGCTCGTCTGGACCCGCTCCATATATATATACATACACGCAGTATATATACATATATACATTTATATGCATATGTGTATGTTTGCATTTATACATATGCTACACATCCATAGCAACTCCCTGATACTTGTCAGTGGTTAATTCACTGTAGACTGAGAACAAGTTAAACTATACCATGTGACTGAAACAGACACATTTGCATAAACACACTAACATTTAAATGCAGTTGCATTTTTGCTTTTAAAAGCTGTTTGTACAAAGTTGAAAATTCAGTCAACTCTAAGCTGTCATGCCACAAAATGAAACCAAAAAACATTCTGTCAATTCTATCAATCACATTGTTTCAGAAGTTCCCAAATCAGATGCATATATGTATATATATGCCTATGCATATATCTGTCTATCTATTTTTCTCTCTATATATAGATATTAATTCCTGACACATACAAGATTTCTTCACTACTTCAGCAGCCTTCATCCGGCATTGCTTTCTTCCCTCTCTTCACTGAAGATCTATTTCAGGAGATTATATGAATGCATTTCCATGACTTAGCCAGCACATCTGACTTCACCCAAGCCAAATGAAACCCATGTACTCCCACTGTGATGAGCACTTTGCTACTGCCACTTTAATCCTGAAAGGTGAATGTGAAACAGCAGTCATTTGTGCAGGCAGGAGCTGTCTGACTGCCACAATTCAAATGCAAATAAATATTCCATTGCACTTTAGGGAAAACATGTTAAATCAACAAGACCCATCATTTAAACACCATAATAAGCAATTAGGCTGAAACTATGATATCAGAAATATCAGTGTCTGTGTAAGACACTGTTTTCATTCGCATGAGAATTTTAATTAGGGCAGAACCAAGCACACAGCTGAAGTACAACCTTCAATCACACTCAGTTGTACCAAACAAAATTAATCCTATACATTTTCATAGCATGCTACAGGTAACTAATTAACTGTAATCACATAACAGTCACAAGATTAACAAAACGCCTTTATGTAGGCAACAAGCACTGCTCACTAAGAATATTACTGTATTCAGTATACAGTATTGGAACTGAATACACGCAGGAAAATTCCACTTCTCCTACAAAGAGAGCAGTGACCCCACTGAACAGGCAGCTCCCTTCACTTGTCACAAAAGCTCTCAGCGAGGGTGAGGAGTGCAACCAGCTGACACATGGGCTGAGCATCAGCTGACGGCAGCTGTGGTACATTACAGGAAACGCCACTGGTAGAGCTGACAAAAGAAGATATTCAATTCAATGGAAAATGTTTTCCAACTAATAGGTCCAGATTTTTGCCTGTGTACTGTTCCAAATGCAAACTCAAAGAAATCTTAATTAGTAATTTCAATATAGCAAATACTACGATGAAAAATAACGCTTTTTTCTTCAAACTACATATAGGTACATACGCTTATCCAAGCTGCAGAGAGAAATGCAGACTTTTTTTTAAGTCAAAGATATACATACATAACATATTAGAGTGTCTTCTATATATATATATGTAAAACTTGAAATATACATTACACACTTCTAAAATTCTCTAATAACATCATAAACAATATACTACATTGCTATAATACATTACATACACAGCATCCAATATGTACCATGTAAAGATATATAAAGCCTGTTACTGTATTTATAAAGATCATTTATACTTCTGTTTGTCTTTCTGTACTTCCCAGCCCCTTCTGCACAGCTTATTTGGGTACTATACCTCAAAATCACAACCAATGATACTTTTGGTACTGTGACAAAAATTGCAAACATTGATGAGAAGCAGCTATTAGCAAATTCATGGGGCAGAAGCAGTGGAAGGATCGAAGAGATTTAATGAGCCACAGATGGCCAACTCAGGATGTCTAGTGACAGCCATAATTTGGTGAAATGCCCTGCCACTTAAAGCACGGCTGGGAAATTGAGCTTCACAATGCTGCCAGGAGATTAACATTCTCTTTAATATTTCTTCTAAGCAAGTCTAAACAAGGAAGGCATTACCTTTAATTGTGTAATTTTGCAAAATGTTTCAAATATTTTAGAAACTCATAATGGCTTTGAAAAACTTCAGTACTTCCTGCAAAATGGATCTAAAGCTATAATGCCTACCAATTTTTGTAGTCATAGTGACTAATCTGAGGTCTTTCTCCCACCTGAGGTTTAAATGCATTTCTTTAGCATTTTTCCAAAACATGCCAATCCCATGAAGCCTATGATGCAGAACAGTACTCAGATTATTTTTCTACTGACCAAAATAAAGTTTACTCAGTAACAAAGACATCAGCAAATACACGGTTATGATTTGAGTCCCAACCTCGATTAGGGTCAAGGTCAAATTGTTAGCTGCTGCATATCTGTGTAGTTGCATCCCTCAAATTAAATTGCACCAATCCTAATATACCCTGCCTGAGGGACAGAGTTAAAAAGAAAAAAAACCTCTTTCTTGTTTGCAGCCTTCTAAAAAGGAAGAAAGATACATTTTGCATTATCTGATTACTACAATGCAAGATTATAAGGAGGGGATGCTCACCCACATAGGTTTAAAATAGGAAGCAATAGGCACAAACTGGTACACAGGAGGTTCCCTTTGACTACCAGGAGCACTGCGGTGCTGTGCAGGTGACGGAGCACTGGCACAGGCTGCTCAGAAGCTGTGGGATTTCCTCTCTGGAGACCTTCCAAAGACACTTGGACGTGGCCCTGGGCATCCTGCTCTGGGTATTCCTGTTAGAGGAAGGCTTGGGCCTGAGGGACCCAGACAGCCCTTCTAACCTCAACCATTCTGTGATATTCTGTTGCAACAACTTCCAGTTTACATTATAAGATGTAGGAAAAAAAAATAAAAACTATCAGTCAGGTAATTGAGAGTCTAATATGTGGCAACATTACGTAAATTCAATGCAGCTCAAGAAATAATGAGGGAACTTAAGATCCCTTACAACACAGGTGTGCACTCTACACTTCTGATCCAAACAGGACTATGTTGAACAACCAAATGACCACTGTAGCAGGCTGTGAGAACTGCTGCACTGTCAGGCTCATGCTTCTGCCCTGTATTTGTGCGAGGACGCCTGAGACACCCTGTCACCCTGGTCTCCATCATCCCCTAGTACTTGAGCAGAAAAAAAGGGAGAGTGGTTAACCTACATGTGAATTCAAGGGCAGCCCAAGTTTCTGCTTTCTGTCTGTTATCAGAGATCTCCCTTGATAAATTGGATGTGACTGGTTACTTGAGTGAAATCCCACCTACTGCAAGACTAAGGGAAAGTAATTTTTTAGAACACTGAACCAAGGCTGGAAATCTTAAGCTACTGTGACAACAGAAACTCGCTAGTTTGAAAATCTTAACAGGAACTCCAAAAGCATGCATTTTAAAAGAAAATTTAAAAAATCACACAAATATTTATATTACTGATTGACTGAAAAACTGATTGAAATAACTTCAGCTGCTTTGAGACCTTTCAGCAAAACAGAACTAAGAACTTCTTTTCATGAGTTAAATGCTAGCATTACTACACTTTCATCTTGTCTTTCACATTCGTTTCCCCCTATCATTTCAGTTTTAATGTATAATTATTTTATTTGACTTTTCCATGAATTTACTGGGGGATACTGGACCACTTTCTGGTAACGACACCAGAATATTTGCTTGTTGACTCTGAGGCATCTCTCCCAGACTGGGAGCAGCTGATTAAAAGCTGTTGCAGTGAAAGGTCCCTGAGCCAGGTGTGTTGGAGGGGCTGTGGCACCAAGGGCACAGCACAAGCTCAGACAACACATAAGGAAACAGGATGGAGCTGATATGTCTAAAAATATTCATTATTTTCTCTATAATCTATAAATCCAAAATAATTTCCAAGATTTTTCATGCAAGGGAGAGACGAGATCTTACTACAACATGAAGAACTTCTCTGTTCCACAACATCGTTTCAAGGTTCTTTAGACACTTCCTTGCATGTACCCATAAGAACCACTATGCTACACTGTAGTCTCTCACATTTGAAAGTGTCTATTTTCTGACACACCTTAGATATAGTATTTTTGCAATTAAGTCCAAATAATGAAATACTCTCCCTAACGTAGAACACAATAACATTGTTATAGTTTGTGTCAAGAAACAAGGTTGCACTTCATTAAATTAAAATTGCAGGAATAACGTAAATTCTTGTCCTGAAAGAAAGAGTTGAGCATACCTTGTCTTCCAAGAATGCCACGGAACAGGCAGTTGGTCCAGACCTTCATTTTATGACTGAAGGACATCTCTAGGAGCATACAGTTTTTGGTTCTTCTAAATTCTTTCAGAAATAGCAAAAGACAAATGTTTCAGTATTACCATCTATGTCTATACCTAAACAGTGAGAGAATAAAAAGAACTCAAAAGCAGTGCCATAAACTAACAACACAAAATAGGATCAAAACTTTAAAATAATGTATTTTTTATTAGCATAAAGAAATTAAACTCCATTTTAGTAGAAACAGGACTCATCCTTTGCATCTAGCTTTAAAACAAACAAATCCCACAACAACAGCAACAACCCCAACACAACTGTAGGTACAGCACAAGGATATCATGACATGCTACAGAAATTAGTTTAAAAAATAATAAAATATTAGCTTTCTTGTGAAGAATTCAGAGTTTGTTTTTGTACCTACATTTTCTATACAGTGTACAGCAATTTGAAATATCTTTTCTCTGGATAAACATGCTCAGCATCACAAATATAGGGAAACACCATGTCCAACAACTGGTAGGTTTAGACAACTGTGAAGGAGGAGTCTTAATCACTGTTTTAAACTAGGTTCTATCAGTACTGACCAAACACTGCTCATATTCTTTGTTAAATGTAGAACTGTGCTCTTGTAAAGCTCCAGAAAACACCTGTATCTAAGCACACATGAAGAACTACTTTTCCTTCCTATCTTGCATTTATTTTCACATCATGTTTTTATTGCAGTGCTTAAGGTAAAAGTAACTGTTAGAATTGAATTGCTGCCTGGGTGCTACCAAGAACCTATAAATTACTATCAAATTTATACTACCTAGGTTGATACACCTACCATTTCTTGCCTGAGGAAGACCTAGAACATTTGATTAACATCAGTGCATTTGATTTCACAGTACAGTACAATGGATATTTTGCATAGGTTTACAGACTTTGTGAAAGTCTGAACGAATTCATATAATCCACTTTTCAAAACTACATATTTTAACATCAGATGTCACCAGTCTCTTGTCACACGTAACTGCAATTTGTCTTGAAGTTTTGACAGTTGAAGTTCCTATTCCACTCCAACACTGTTTAAGCAAGCTGCATGAAGATTTAGAAGATCGTAATACGTCCAAGCTAGACACATTAATCTGCTGTTAACAATCTGCTCATTAAAGAGCAAAACTGAAAAATCAAATTGAACAGCCATGTTTTGTGCTGAGCATACAGCAATGTTCAAAGTTCCCTATGTGGAGAAGCACATAGGGGAGAGAAGATGAGGGAGCACCACACAGATACTGGTGGGAAGACTGAGTCCCTACACCAGAAGTTCCTTGTAACAACACAATCTCAAATACTTTGCTTGTCTCACACAGACGAGCCTAAAAGGACTTTTGTGTATTTATTTGTTAAATAATTTATTGATACACTATTAATTTCTCAGAAGCATGGGGCTGACCTGTAGTCAAGGGCAGCATACGATCAAAGACTGAACCTCTACTTCTGCAGGGAGCTGGTCAATCCCGTTCCTAGAAGAAAAGACAACCCAGCCACAGCACCTGCTGGGAAGAGCCTGTTTTTGCAACTTCTTACATTTCAGACTCCAAGTTAGGTGGTGTGGTCACATTTAGGGCAGCGTGGATGAAACAAGGGATGAGGGAAGGGAGCTCTGGAGAAGGGATCTGAAGGCTAGAGAATTTCTGGATGTAATTGGGAAACTTCTTGCGACAGAACAGTGATGGAGACTGGTAAAGTTCATCTTATCTGCACTGGGTTGGGGAAAACACTCTGACGCAGTGAGGAAAGTTATAGCTGTGTTTGACCAGTATTTCTAAAAGCAGCATGCATGCTCTGTAGGCATGAAGAATCATTCTCTGAGGAAACACAAGGAAGACAGTGTAAGAAGCATGTATGGACACAGGGCTCAATTTTTATATAATGGGAAATGTGATGTTGAAAGCCAAAGAACCTTGAATTAATATAATCACATAGCTCTACTTGGACATAATATCTACACTTATTTTAATATCTGCCTTTGTGACAGACAGATGTTCAGAAAAACATTCTGATGTCAGAGCATCTAGATGGTCTTTTAGCAGCATGTAGGTAAATCCCATGGCTACACAGCTGTTCTTTTCCACACTGCTAAATACAAGTGCAAAAACTGTCTGTTTGCACTGACACAAAGCAACCTGACCCAAGTGGCTTTTCACAGGACACCATCATCACCTAATCTTAAACTACTTAAGGTTAAAAGAGAAGATATTTCAAGTAGTTCAATATAAATGAAATACATAGGAAAAAATTTACTGTGAAGAACTGCAACTTCATGGATGATTCCGTCTAGACCTGTAGAAACCAGATGGTAATTTAAACTGTCTCACACAGCTGCAACTGATGGCAGCCTCAGTGACTGGTGAGGACTGGCACAAACTGGACAGTAACAAGCAGGCAGTAGTGAAGCTCAGTTCTTTCCATACCTTCTTATTCCAAACAGTCCTTCTTTTTCTCTGGGCTTCTAAAGCCAGTGGCAGAACATGTCCATTCTTTCAGCTTGGCAATAGTTCTGGTTATCCTGGCTCTTTACATGCCTGCACAGCTGGATTACAGAACACTTCAGATAGGACAGAATAAAATTAAGTCAACTGAAGCAGTTAAAAACATCCCATAGCAGGAAATGATGTGGGCGCATACCGTCTGCATAGCCTTTCTGATCTCCATGGAATTCCAGTTATTTTGTGCAAGTTATATTTCATTTTTTAATCCCATCTGAAATGTTTGACTTATAATTATTCTACCTCTATAAATTATTCTGTATTTCCAACAACTTCAAATTTGAAGTTGCTGAACATCTAATTTAACCCCTGTGGAGTCTGGAGAAAAAATTCACAGCTATCAATGATTTGTGGTTTTACAGAAAAAAAGAAAAAAAACTCACAAAAAAAACCATGATTAGCATGCAAGATGAGAGATTCATTAAAATGGGTACAAAATAATTAACCCAAACTAGCAGAATTAGAGAAGTTTAACAGCATATCTGAATTCACAATTATCTACAGTGAAACCTTAAAACCTTACATCCTTATCTAAATTTTGTATTCATCTTTATCATATGGCATAGCTTTACAACAAATATATTTGCCTTCAGTCAGAATAGACTGAATAGCCAAATTTTGCACAAATCTAAATTCACAGAAGAGTTATGTTTAACTGTAGGACAGAAATGAACACTTCAGAACTATGAAAATTGTTCTATTGAGTATGAGACTCAATCTGTTTGGTATGTTTTCTTATATTTAGGAAGACCACAATGTATCTATAACTCGGAAGAAAAAAAAGAGAGTGATGCCACAACACTGAATTCATCTTGGAAAAGAATATGAAATATTCTAAAACTATACTCCAGATCTACAGATTTTCTCCAGAAATTTTACTTTACAACAACATAATAAAATACTTTGTCTTCAGGTGCTGTAATAATATCTGTAAAAAAAAAAAAAAAAAGAAAGAAAAACAAGCAATTTTTTGTTTTCTCCACAGGAGTTAGTTTCTAGGATTGTGAACCTGTAAGTGCAAGCCTGGGAAAATACAATAGCTGTCTGGCAAACAGCTATTACTCAGTGTAAAAAACAAACAACAAAACACAAAAAGGAAGTAAAAAATCAAAACTTCTACTAGATACAAAAAGTTTTAATTAAGGTTTTAAGTGAAAAGGATATGGAATACTTTTATGTTAAATTCCTGCCTCAAAATAATTTTACACGTTTAGTTCCAAGAGCACAACTCAGACTTTTTCCGTTTGCTTTCACACAACTAAACCTCAAATCTTGTACAACACTTGTGCCATGCTTTAGCAGTAATAGGACTTTTACCAATTCCTCTGGCTTTATTCATTTCATTGCAGTATAAAACTATGATTTTTTTAAGATAAGAGGTGACATTAAATAATATAAGTCCAGCATAAATAAAACACAGAAACACACCTCCACTTGTTAAGCTCTTGCTGACAGATTGACATTGCTGAAGATCTGCTTCCTGTTACTACTAACGGTAATTACTAACATATGAGGTGAAAGGCATGGAGAATCAAAAATCCATGTGGTCAGCTTAGACTTTTCACTCAGAATTCCTTCAGCAAGGAAGCTTCTTAAATACTGACAGAAAAATGTCAAGTTCGAAAAGGTGAATATCAGACTTAAAGGAAAATATATAAAATAAAAGAAAACAGTTTTATTTACATATTTGCATATATTTTTATGATCCTTTCTTTCTAAGCATTCTCATCTTGAATTTGAACTCTGTTTCATTGGACTTTCTTGCTTAGAACAAAAGTTATCCCAATATGCAGAATCCTCAGGTGTAATGGGAATTCCAGGTGCAACTAAATCTTCGAAAGTCAGTAATGTAAACTGTTGTTGATGAGGTTGTGTGGAACATACCTAAGGAAAACAGACATTAATTTTTCATGAATCAGGAAATCCCCATTATCTTCCTGCAACCTAGCCTGTAAAGTTAAAACTACATATTGTTTTCTGAAGAAAGAAAACATTCCAGTTAAAACCAATGTCACTGTTGCTAATTTAGGTTATATATTGACTAACAGAAGCATGTAACAGGGTGTGCAGAAAAAGTAAGTTATGCTTTGATTCAGTTCAGAAAACTGAGAATGCTAGAGACAAAGAATCCTATAAACACCACAGAATGACTGTTTAAGCTCAGAAAAAGCAAAACACAAACTATTACATTCTACAGCAGACATGATTATTTGAGATGATAGCATTAGGATTTACTCCAATGGAGGAATGTCTACTCATACTCCTCTTAATACTGGAGCTATGCACACACTCAGTCTCCTCACAGAAACTCTTAGAGAAAAAAGCAGTAACAATCAAGCCGTGATTCCCATAGTTAAATCCAGATTAAATGCAAACTCAGATATTGGAGATGAGCGTCACAGTCTCTGCATTAGTTAAACTGCATCTCAAAGAAAAATAGGCTTGTTTACCTGAGCATGTGTTACTGTATAGCCTGCTGTACGCTACCTGCAAGTGTAATTCCAGGAGGGTTAAAAGTACAGTTGCATAACCTGATAGAGACTGTAAGCTGTTCTTCTAAATAATGTCCACACATCCAATCTCTCTAAACAAAGATGAAGAACACCCTCTCCACTCAACATATTTAACAACAGACGGAATCCCTTTTACTGTTTCCATACAAAATAAGGCCAAATTTATTTCTTCCATATTACTGTTAAAAAGCATCCTGAAAAAGGAAATTTTCACTTCATTATCATATCAAGGAGTCAGAGAATGCCCACTTGTGCTACTCAATATTTCCTATTTTCAGTGGACTGTGCTAATGAAATTTAGGTCTTTATAAATTTAGTTAGTGAGCAAGTATGCCTTAGAGACTTTTCTTGATTCAAATACTTTGCATCATAACTCCCAATATATACCACATCTGTTCCTTTTGTAATAATTTTAAGGTGCCTGACAGTGATAGCAACAGTCAGCAACTAATACTGGATTCTGTAGTATACTTGCACGATAAACATACTGTTAAACAGAATGCATGCATTTTCCTAAATAACATTTGACAGAGTACATTCTCAAACGTAGTTTCTATCTGTTTTTTGAATTTAACCAACACAAGCTAAAAGATCTACCTCACTGTGCTATCAATGAACACAGACACAGATTTTATAACCACTTTCATTCAGTAGCATGTATTTTTTGGTAGCTCCTGCTACGGTCTTCATAGCTACATAACGGATAACAACAGATCCATTTTCTTGTGAGCAAGTGAAATGTCACAGACAAACCTGGTTATTTGTCACCCATTCCTTTTGCTGATTCTCTGGCTATTTTGGCTATGACTTCTCAACCTGCTTCAAATTTGACTTCTGCTGCTATCTTAATGGCCTGCTAAATTATTAAGAAACTCCCAAAAAGCTTTTAAGTATGCCTCATTCCATAAAGAGACCATGCACAATGAAGATAATGCTGCTGTTCTTCCAATCTGTTGGTTGTTACTGCTTGTCTCAATAACTGTTCTAATGGTGTTTGAGAGCTGGATCTGCTCATGGATACATGCAATGATCATCTCCCATTAAAATGGGAGCTGGTGCAACAGTTCAGTAGTTCAGATTAGCTTCAGTATCCTTTTACATCTACTAAATCCATCTTTCCAACTTGAGTCTAGCAGGCTGTAATAAAAATCACTGAATCGTCTCTTGAATAAACACAGTGAATGCACATACATTTTAGATTTAACATTATCAGCTGCTGTCTTCTGAAACCATTTCTCCTTCCCAGCTTGTTTCTCAAATAGGCACAAATAGACTAAACGTAACAGTCCTCCAATAATCTGACTAATACTGCAGTTAAGATAAGCTTTCTTCTCCTTGGCCCTACACCTGAGACAAGGCCTTATTTTAGCTAAAGCATCATGCTAAGCTTATGTCAAGTAACTAGTTACCAAGATACCAAGAACTGTAAACGCTTTGTGATTTCTTACATCAGTATGCTGCTGCCCAAATCCCTCCTGTTTCCCAAGAGCCACTGCAACGTGATGGTAGTCATCTAACCGTGTTTCCTAGGAAAGATGAAAAACAGCAATGTAAAAGTTTTTTCTTCACTCTGTTTCCAGCAGGCTACATACATAGTTAAAACATGGCTCAGAACAATACCAAAACACCATTTAAATTACTTTAGAATAGCGACATTCAGAAAGCAATAGTCCTTCAGAAAGTTTGCTGGAGAGCTCAAGAATGCAGATACAGTTAGCAGAGATGAGCTGGTTACTGTTGATGGGTACCATCTCACCTATTTTTAGACACTTATACACCAGTCTGTGAGCTTAGTCTCACTAACACACTGTAAAATTACAAAAAGAAAATGCCATTATGTCCTCTCTTCTGTGATTCCCCAATAGCACTTACTAAACAAGTACCAAGATGCTCAGCTCCAATGTAGTGAAACCAGTTTGGTTAAGACAGCATCTGTTCTACCCACATGTAGAAGAACCACTAGGCTGGGGCACTTTACAGTCAAAGACATGGGTGCCTTGGCCAATAGGTGGTGGTGTGGGAGCAGAAATAATGGCAAATAATTGTTATAGTTCTAGCAACGTTTTGTGCTTGTCTTGAAGAAAAATGACCATGTCCACTTTTTAATGACTTTACTTCCTCCCTACCCTGTTTTTAGTTTTTGCCTGTCCAGAAGGCTAAGGACAGATGGGACTGCACATAACTCAGCACACAGCGGCCTACATCTGTTGTCAAATGACTGAAAACAATTGTGTTACAGCTTTCAGCAGAATGCACGTAAGTTTGTTTTTGTGACATGAACTGATAGATAACTTACTGTTGATGCAACAATAAACATACATCATGTAAAGTCTCTCACATATAGTTAAAAAAACTATTTTCTGTCAGTTTTAAGTTGAATTTAACTGGAAGTGACTCTTTAGATAATGGGGACCATTCTCCTGCAGAGACTCCTCCTCTCAATGAATGATTAATTCAGATGGCTCCCTCCCATTTACTCCACATATCCTCAGTGCATTAGAGGTCAGAAAACAGTTTTCAGCATCTTCTAATTAAATGTAACAAACGATGCCCTACATTTTATCTTCATTACTTCACTGAAATGGAAACCCAAATCAAACATAGGAGATCTTTCCTGGCTCCTGCTAATGGCCAGCAAAGCCCTTACAGTGTGGAGTTCATGCAGCATAGAGATGCTTAAAAACAGCATATCAATCTGCTTCATATTCATCTGGAGATACCTGTACACAATCTTATCAATTAAATCAAACTTCTTACATGAAAATGGATGACTAAACGAAAACAGAAGCAGCACTGGAAACAACAGTACAGAAATTCCTCTGGTCTTGTTAAGATTCCTGTCTATAAAACAGAGAATATGTAATAGATCAAAATTTGTTTTTCTCTGAACCAACTAAAGGCACAATGAGACTTATAATTACCTCATTTCAAAGGCTCATCAGAATTACGTGTCTGGGATTCAGATCAGTCTGGATTCTCTAAAACAGACAATTTATGAGTAAACTGCACCTTCAGAGGCAGAACTGATTGCTGTCTGAATCCAGTTGGATTAGCTAGTCTTGGAAACAAACTTTAATTCCTACTTTTTCCTCAAAATAAAACAGAACAAACTCCTCTTATCAAGGGAGAAAGATTCCATTACTACTGCACACTAACAACAGTTACTAAATATGCCTCAAATTAATCCATGTAATTTCACTTTGGAAGTCAAGTGTTTGTATGTACGCAAACCAAGCAAGAATTTGCTATCAAAACATCCAAATCAATTATTTGTGTAGCAGTAGTGATGCCAGGTGATTCTCAAACCCTGACTGAAGTTTAGGGTGAATGGGTGCTCCCTCTGTACTGATTATATGAAAGCTGAAGTAGGGAACAAAAAAAGAATTATCAAAGGCTCCAAAAACTGCTATCTGACCATTCTTCTCAATTAACTGTATGAAAGTGAGAAAAAGTCACAAATACACTTTACTAAGATTCATCATTAATCAGGATTTTTTTCCATATACGTATCTGTAGCAGGTCTGCTACAGATAGGTATTATATATATGCAATTCCCTCTCTGAACTAAAGAACTTGTCAAAATTATCATTGACCAACTTCCTTCACCTACATTAAAATTAACTAGTACTTTATTCTGTAAGTTTGTTTTCTTCAAAAGGAGTAAATGGATCATATGGAACTCATTGATAAAATTATATAAAAAAGGTAAAAACCAAAGCATATATCTTCATCTTAAATTAACAATCCAACATAAATACTGTATCACACTTCAGTGGATTACTGCATTTTAATTTTTATTAAAGAAATTATCTTTTTTTTCCTGTCTTTCTAAAAAGAGACACATGCACTGCCCATTGCAAACAAATCATATGGGGGCTGCTCCAAAAGCAGCGCTTTGTGCTTTATGATGTTGGCCCACAGCATCAGAGGTGGATGTTGGTGGTATGGCAGTAGAGGTCAAATCTTCCCACCAATATTTCATCACATGCTGTTGCTGTGTGACAGATGGCAGCAGAGGGGCAGTCTGACTGAATGGCATCTGACATGGAAGTGCGTATGAAACAAAGTCGCAGAACTGAATTCCTCCATGTGGAAAAAATGGCACCCATTGACATTCATCAGTGTTTGCTGACCATTTATGGAGACCAAACAGTGGATGTCAGCACAGTGAGGCAGTGGGTGGTGCTCTTGTTCATCACTGGTGAAAATGCAGAGGTAATGGTGGTGACTGTTTTGAAAATCAGTGTTTTGTAGCTGAGAAATTTCTATATCAAGTAGTGTTATTGTCTCCACTGTATCTGTTGTAGTTTCCATAGAAATAAATAGGATGCATTACTTTCCGAGCAATCCACTCATTTAGCACGCATAGTAAGACAAATGTTGAAACTCAACTTACGCTTTCGAATGAAGTTTTATTGTATTTTTAGTCCTAGTACTTCCAAAATAGTTGAAGGGAATGTGAGAAGTAATCTCTCTAGAAATCTATATGAAACAAACACCTAAAACTAAGTCAATTTATCATTAACAAGATGTTCCTGAGCTACTGCTTCCTATCCAAGCTCAAAAATACATGAGGAGTGGCAAAAGGAAAAAGTACAAAACTAATCCCTTAGGTAAAAAGGTAGCAAAAAGGCAACTATACAAAATATATTTAGCATTCACAATGAAATAGAAAAAAAATTATGTTCACAGGAAATTCTACCTACAATGTGAACAAATGCATGTTCCTGTAATTGTGATTCACTACTATTTCTCTTAACTTGTTTTTTGGCTTGCAAATGATGAAGCAGTAAATTTTTTTTTCAAATCTTTATGCTTTTAAGTTGCTTTTTTCACATGACATTGTATTCCCTAAAGGAGATTTCAGACTATTTTTGTATACCTCCAGTTGGGAAATGAACTTTTTACTTTTTTCTTAAAAAAAAAACCAAAAAAAAACCCCAAAACTATCTTCGACTGTTGGTAAGCTAGATACTCTTTAAAATTCAAAGGAAGAGAATCCAAACTATGAGATAACTGGAGCCTTGCTCTCTCTTTGACCATCTCCTGCCATACAGATCTGAGAAGTAAAAGTGAACTTTCTATCTGACAGAAAAAGTCCTCTCAGGTAAAGTCAGCACAAAAGAGAATACAAGGAAAGCACTGTATCAATAACAGGAGTCTTAAAGGTAATACTCAGTGATTTCTCCTTGATGACTTCCCCAGATTTCTCAAAATTAGTGCCTGCAGTTACCAAAGTTATTTCAAGAGTTTGGCTCAAGGCCAAATGATCAAACAAAATTAAGAATTCTGTAAGTAAGAAAATGGGTACAACATTTTGTTTTCTCACGAATTTCTTTTAAAATTATAGAGATTCTTAACCTTAGAGGGATATAGATAACTGAAAAACTGTTTGTTTTTTTTTTTCCTTTTAATTAACATAGATTTTTAAATGAAATTATACCCAGCAGAGCTAATATTTTAAACGAAACCTGATAATAAATATTGTCTTTGAGATAACAGAATCTGTATAGTTACAAGGCGGTGCTCTTGGGAAGCAGTGGGCAAGCATGGAAGAGGAGGTATTTCTCAGACAAAAATTAAATTAAGCTTCTAGCAGTATCACTGAGTTATAAAGAAAAATATAAAATTATAAAACATTTAAGTACCACAGCAGCTATCTATACCATCATCTCCGAGGTATTTTATTCAATCAACCACCAGCATGCCTTCAAAGATCAAGATTTGGAGCTTCAGAAGTTCATCAAAAGAGATAAATGCTTCTGTGACAATGGTACAGTTAGCACTAACACAGAAAACAGCCATACTACAAGATGTGCCACAATCTGTCCTAAGGTATTTCTTGCCAGACTGTAATTCCCATTATAGGATTTCAGGACATACTCAAATCCTAGAGACCATGGCAATATTAGTATAAGAATTGATTTTGTGTGGGTAGATTTTAAACAGAAACCCAAATGTGACTACAGATGCTGAAAGGAATGAACTCTGAACAGGTTAAATGTTACTGGTACTAGTTAAATTATACCATATTTAATTTTTTTATTCACTATATGCACACCATGCATGTACTGGGTATGCTATGTAAAACGAGCATACACCAGATACTGGTCATTCAGACAAGCTTTACCACAACAATCATGTCCAACAACGCAGATATTTGCAAAATGTAATGTTTCACACACACTGCAGGCTGATTACTCAAATGGAAAACACGCTTGACTATTTTCTCAAATAGAAGTGCAAAGTATGTAATCTTTGAACTTCCAGTCAGCTACATACATGCTGCACAATCTAACAGGAGATGGAGACAGGGACATATGGGAACAAAAATCCCTTTCTAGACAACTTTAGAAGTCACACTGTCTTTTCTATTTTTCCCGCTCAGTAATAGATTGAAAGCGTTTCTGGAGCGCTCGTGATTTTTTTTTAGCTAGTTAAATATCGTGAGATGATAGTATCAGCTCTTTCTCTCCCTGTCCTTCAAAACACGTTAGATGGCTATTGGTCACTCCCATAGATGTTTCAATGTTAAGTCTCAATAATTTTCAAGGAGGAAAAAAAAAACCAACAAAACAAGTAAAAAAAAAAAAACAAAACAAACCCAAACATGTTAACAAAGACAAAACCCAACACTCAGAAGACTGAGATCACAAAGTAAAGGTAATTGTTTGTTGCATCTGTCCATTCCAACACACAGCAACCAGTGAGTACCTCTTAAATTCAAACCTACATAACCACACTGCTTCTTATTCATTCAAGCAGGTGAAGGGAAAAAAGCAAAACAACCAAACAACAACAAAAACGCAACCAAAGAACTGAAGACACCACCTCCATTTCAAATGTTTAACATAAATGCTAACTAATGGCATTAATTATCACCAGTTTCATTCTCAGCCAACTGACCATAGAATCACAGAATATCCTGGTTTGGAAGAATTTCAAATTTATTTTTTTTTTACACTATTCACAAGTCAGGTCTGAATACACTTCATTGAACTTCCTGCATGGCCTAGGATGAATATCCTGTCCTGAAGTGCCAGAACAATACTCCAGGAATGGAAAAAATAAAAAGCCATTCTAATGGATGTACTTTGTAGGAGGATTTTGTGATCAACAAAAATATTTCTTACATGCCAGAAATTTATACCCTATGTTTTAATCTATATCTGTTCAATGCAGTTATATAGAATAAAGGTGTGAAGTTGCAATTAAAAAAAAAAAGGTGCAATGCAATTAAAAAAAGAGTTTGAAGATTTCATACCTCAAAAGTCCACTCTTCCTCTTTTTCTCCATCCAACAGCATCTGGGTCTCATTATACACCTTCCCTATTTCCATTTGCAATGGGGACACATTAAATTCAATTCTTTGCAAGTTAAAACCAATCCCAACTCCAATAGCCTTTAAGAAGCTTTCTTTTAGGGCCTAAAAGACAGAGCACCATTTTCAGAATACTCACTGTTCATACTGGTTGTTTGAATTTACCTTCTCTATAAACATTATTTATAAGCAGACACTGTAGGTCAAATAAATTAAAAGCTTATACCTATTAATATGACAGTAGACTGACACAGTTATCAAGAGAAAAAAGTTACCAGCATTGTTATTACTTTTCTCACTGTGTAAAAATGTACACCCAGACATGAATCATTTAGCTTGTTCTCAGTACATGTTTAAAACTAGTTATAAATCCTTCTAGAAATATCAACTATATTATGGTTCTTGAAGATAGTCTGACATTAAATAGATAACATCTATATGTTCATGAAACTATAAAAGTATACGGTTTTCTCAAAAAGAAAAGAACAACAAAACTTCCTAAACAATTTACAAGTTGTAGTGTTGTAATCTTTAAATAGGAAATAAATGTATTACCCAGTGTCGATGAAACATATCCAGCTGCATCCACTCATTATTCATAGACTTGATTACATGCCACTCTGTCTCAGTAAACTGTCTCTTCATGATACGAAAGAAATTTGGAATTGAGCTACTACCTACAGATTGGAAAAAAATATTTACAGGAATTTTAATAGAGCAGCAATGGTAAGCAAATGAATTACTTTATTGCTCTGAAGAAAAGCTCACTCATAAGAAAAGAAATATGAACACCCGCTGCTCTGCAATTTGAATTTACATAGCTTCAAAGGAGTGAGCAGATGCTGCTGACAGTTCATAACACAGTATTAAAAAAATCATTCCTGTGGCAGAATTATTACATAAAAAAATCTGATATGATAGTCGAATACATTCCATATTTTCAGACAGTATTTGACCAGTGGAGATTACATATATATTAAAAATTTATATCCGGCTATAAGAGTATATAAAATCTTTAGTATTTGACTGCTTGATCTAGTAACATTTTATAAAACAGCATGCTGCTTGTCAGAATTCATGAGGTTATTCTGCTTTCTGTTGTTGGACAGTGGGATATGAAAGAAACACTTTAAAGCACATGCAGAAATAAAGACCCTCAAATTTATCATACAGACAAAAAAAGGAAGCCTCCAATCCTTGGATTAAATTTAAGCCTCCACAAAAATGAGCACAGCTGTGTACTCCTGTCACAGCTTTTCAGGGACTACACCACTTTTCCCCTGTAGTCCGAATGTATTTTGCAAGAGACACTACAGATTGTATGGTTATACTGATCAATGGCATTTCTACAATGCACTGGAAGCTATGGACAAATCATTACACACTTCACTAACCACCCACAATCTGTATGATTAATCAGTATACCATGCAATTTGTCCCATAGGGCTTACAGCTGGCTAAGCAGACAAGGGCACAAAGCAATCTATTTTCTTTAGTTGGGATAACCAAAATCTGGACAGAGAAAATTCCACATACTGAGACAGTATTTTTTTGTATCTTATGCAATATTCTTGTTAAAGGGAAAATACTAGTCGTGTTTAATGCAAACTAATCTCACCTCCCTCATTGCAAAGCCTCTCTCAGTTATTCTAGAGGGATTGTAGCAACTGGGAGATGTGCCTGAAAGTGCAAACACTGCTCCCATCTTCAAATGGACAAGAAAGAGGGCTTGGGGAACTGCAGGCCAGTCAGCCTCACCTCTGACCCTGGGAAGAGCTGACAGAACAGCTCATCCTGTAAACCATTTCCAGGCACAGGAATAGGAAGAAAATCATCGGGAGTAGTCATGAATGAGCATGGATTCATCCGAGGGAAGTCATGCTTGATCAACCACATAAGCTTCTACAATAACATGACCAGAATGATGAGAGCAGTGGGTATCGTCTTCCTGAACTTAAGTCAGACCTTTGACACAATCCCCAACACAGTCCTCATAAGCAATTGGCTGATGCATGGGTTAGATGGGCAAGCCCAGAGTGCAGTGATTATTAAACCTCCTTCATAAAGTGGTTGTCTTCTACATGTACATAGGCACTATATAAAACCAGATATTGGCTGCAGCAATATTTGGAGTCACACTAAAGCACAGACTCAGGTTTCCTGACCATTTCCTTTCCAGGTCACACTGCAAAATGGAACCTGACATACTGCACAGATAATACAATACACGGCATTGATATTTTAGAGATGCCTCCAATTTTCTTTATAGACTGCAGTGAAAAAACTTCTCAACATAGAAATTATGATGGCAGTTGCTGTAGTTAGCTAAAGAAATGATCCATATCAGGACAGAAATAACATTCTTTTCAGGAGAAAAAGAAAAATAATCACAATGTCAAGGATGGCGAATGACCAAGGTACCCATCTATGAGACTCCAATTTCCCTGAAACAATAAATAAACTAAACAATACTTCAATTTGGAGAAAGGTCTTTAATTTGCTGAGTTTAAATGGACTTTTTTTTTTTTTCATATGATCAGATGACTGTACTAAAAAACACTCCAAAATCTTTATTTTCTCCTCCTCCTTTTCACAAGTATTTAAGGAAGCACCAGCAGCTTCTTCAGATCATTCAAATTAAGAAACATTCAAAAACTTCTTCCTCCTGCTCTCAATAACACATGGTTGTTAACACCAGCAGACAACGCTTTCAGAATCTAGAGGCTTCCTGCACTGTCAGAGCTGTTCTGCCTTAAAAACTGTATAACTCAACATGGTGCTTGCAGATAATACTAAACTCTTCAGTATGAGATATATACCATACCCATTCACACTGCCTTTTCACTGTCGCCTGTTCAGTGACAATGAGTCAGTGCCTCATTCCTTTTTGGCCCCGAGTTTCTTCAGCTGTGCAACTATACTTCTTTGGTAAGATGCTGGACAGTCATGTTCAAATTTACATGGTAAGCTGGCACTTCCCCCCACTGAAAAACTCAGGCACTGTTTTCTACTCAACTGCCTGCCCTTCCAGTTTCCTTTTTAATGCAGTGCAATAATTTTGCTCTGAGGAATGGATCAGATCACAGGATTCATGGCTCAAGAAACTGCTAGCAGTATACTACATTCTGCTTAGTCTGTTTCTCCATATTTGTTTGAGTATCAGAGGAAAACAGATTCACAGAATCATAGGAAATTTTAGATTGGAAAGGACCTCTGGAGACCATCTGGTCCAACCTTCTGTTGAAAACAGGGCCTTATATTATCCAGGGACCTGTCAAGCAGAGTCCTGAGCGAGATTCCACCCATATTTAAGAAAAGATAAAAACAAACAAACAAAAAGCTTACTGTGCAATAGCTGGGAGAGAGGAATAAGAAATGAGAGAAGCAGCCCTGCAGCCCTAAGGTCAGTGCAGAAGGAGGGCATGAGGCGCTCCAGGCACCAGAGCTGAGATTCCCTTGCAGCCCAGGAGAGGCCTGTGGAGGTGCAGGCTGTCCCACTGCAGGCCACAGAAGACCACATCATGGTAGACACACATACTGAAGCCCATAGAAGACCCCACTGCAGTGCAGGCTTCTGGCAGAAACTCGAGCTCACAGCAGAGCAGGTTTTCTGGCAGGAACTGTGCCTCGTGGAGTATTCAAGCTGGAGCAATATCTTCCTGAAGGGCCACACTCCATGGAAAAGACCCATACTGGAGTCTTGAGGAACTGCAGTCGTCCATGGTAAGGGCCACACTGTAACAGTTCCTGAACGACTGTATCCCATGCAGGGACTGCATCCAGAGCAGGGGATTAGTGTGATGAGGAAACAGCAGCAGAGTGTTAGAGATTGACCACAACCCCCATATCACTACACAGCGCAGGATTGGGGAGGAGGTAGAAGAGTTGGAGTGAAGCTGAAACTCAGAAGGGTCAGAAGACAGGAGTTCTTTATTTTTTTCTTTCTCACCATCTTACTCTATTATTAATAGGCAATAAATTATGTTAATCTCCCTCATGCCAACTCTATTTTGTTCATGACAGTGATTGGTGAGTGATCTCCCTACCCTTACCTTGACCCACAACCTTTTAAATCTTGTTTTTCTCCCATGTTCTGTTGGGCGGAGGGAACTTGATGATCTTAAAATATCTTTTCCAATGTTAATGATGCAATGATTCTATTATCCTCTGCTAATAAACTTAAAAGAATACTACATCCTTAGAAGTATAATCTGACTATTCTTTCAGAATCTGTCTCCAATATATTTAAAAAAAAAAAAAAAAAAAAAAGTACTGTACTGCATTAAAAATACCAGATATCCTGACAATTTCAAAAAGAGTGAGAAGAAAGTACTAAGTAATACTGGAATTGTCCAGAATCAAATCTGGAAAATAAATGGTTGTGCACATCTATATATGTCTTTTTTTGCACAACTTATTTATATTGAAATATATAAATATATTGTATCTATTCAATTTTGTTTATTTGTTTTGGAAATACAAGGCCAAAAATCCACTTTGCATCCTCCCTCTCAGACAGTAAAAATTCAGACCACATACAAATGATTAATTTTAAAAAGATGTGGGAGAGAGAAGAAAGAGCAAGTCCTGTTTGAGAAAAGGTTCAGAAATAGTAGATAAATATAGGGCTAATTTTTCTCCATTTTTCAACCTGTTGAAAATAAAATGAAGCAAGTTGCATTTGTAGGAAAATAAAAAGCCACTAAAATTGAGATCTATACACAGCATGCTATTAATAGTCCTACAGACAGCAATATTTACCTATACATAAATCTTCAGACTGGTTTAAGTTTATACTTCCACAAACACAAGGTCAGTCCTAAAAGAGCTTGGTAATACAATGTTCACTTAGCAAGCCCAGTAACTCTCCTGCCATACCTGATGTTAGTAAAACCATGACATGCCTTCTCAAGAATACAGAGAGGAGCAAATGACCAAATGTCCTCAGTACAGTTGTTAAACACTTCTACAATCAAAATCAAATTGTTTTGGTCAGATACAAACTAGCTTATATTGTGTTCTATAGCCAAACCAATTAGAATTGAAAGCTAAAGCTACTATTATTAGCTTACTGATCAGCCAATCCCTAGAAAAAAGAATAAAAACAGAATCTTACCCGCCTTGAACTACATGAAAGAAACAGGTCAGTGATCACACTATTGTAGGGAATGGAACTGACCACCAGAGAACACGGAGTCCAACCCCCAAGGATCAGGAACTAATACCTAATCAATACATATAAATTCATTTTCAGGTAGTGAGTGGGCCTAGTGACAATGAGAAACATACTGGCTAGTAAAATGAGCAAGTGAAATATCAATGGATCAATCTGCTTAGTGTAAAACACAACGTAGCTATAAATCCTGCAAGCTAATGAACTGTATAGAATCAACGAGTATTCAGGCTCTTCAGCTGCCAATCCTTTGGTACAGGACAGGACTCAATCTCTTGAGGTCCCTTCCTACCCCTGCAATTCTGTGATCTCTGAGGGAAACCAAAGTAAAATGATACAGAGAAAACATTCCCTCTGCAACAAATGCCCAAGATGTTTATTAATACAATCTAAACCTTATGCAGATGTTTAGAAACCGAGTACAGAGAACAAATAATTATCTAGATAAATGACTAATTTAGACTAACCAGACAGAAAATTAACAGGGCATGGTTTTTAAATCTA